ATAGAAAAATGTATTATTCAAAGGCTACTGTATAAATGAAATAATTTAAGTGTTCTCAGTGATTGATTGCGCGGATTCCTCCATAAACATGATACAGTAGTGCGTATATTCTGATATTTGTAATGCTTTTTCAAGCTAGCCTTAAAATTATCGACTCTTTTTTTTATGTGAAATTTGCCAAAAGTGCAGACTGTTCACCTGATGTTAAGTGAATACCGCCGCCCATGGACATCTGCTACACCCGAGGGTAACAGATGCCTTGATAACCTTTTGAAAATTGGGCTCCGGCTACCTCACTCACCAGACGAAACGCGAAAGTATTTGTCATACTTCCACTTTAAGCTGGTCTTCTGTGAGATCGTGGTGCTTACCCGGACGGGCCTGACCCTTCGTGCAACAGCCGCGGCTGTTGCGTGGCCCTACCACCGTAAAATTTACATTTTAATACTATATTCGCTGACGTGACTTTATGAAGAAGTGTATAGATCACGCATATCATCATCTCCATCCTCCCGCCCTTATCCCACCGAGGCGGGGTTGGCACTACATGTCATTGTGTTGTCAGATACTCGACAGTAACCTATTTATAAATGATTTTGTACTTCCTTACGTACCAATATCGTTAGTTTGTCTAAACTGTTATAAATAAAGTTTGTAAACTCGAAAACATCGATAAACCGAAAATTATTTTTTGTAATTTAAGCTAAAACCGGACTTAACACTCTGGTACTTACAAAATCTGTAGAAAGTTCTTTATCTCTGATTAAAATCGAGCCAAAGTAACTTTCACGACACGGAGATCTCATATTAATTAAGGTTCGAAGGTAAGGGAAGCCCGCGCGGAAATTGAATCAACGATCAGAGCTTTCTTAACAAACAATTTGTCCAGTAATCGTTCTAGACTTGTAACAGAATTCAAACCCCACTAGCCGATGCACTGCTGTGGTATACGTTTGATTATTCCAAACGTCGTCCGAACAATTACTCGGCGGGCGCAAAATAACTTACTCCCATTAACTTTATTGAGGAAACGCTATTTGATGGGCGAACGTAAAGATAATTATTTGACGTTGTGGTTTATAGCATGGAACTTATAGCATTGTGTGGAATAGAATATTAAGTTAATGATAATGCACCTATGAAATAAGCTTCGATCGTGTCCTGAATTCTTATAGTTTGACTGTTATCAACTAAATCTATCATTCGTCAACGAAATGATAGTTAAAGAGTATTTTGCAGGTCATTCATGCAATATATAGATTAACAGAGCCAAAAAATATATTTTGTACTTGCTTACGTCTTAATAAAAAAATTATATACACAAAATGCTAAATTTTTACAACCAATTATAGTTCGAACGAAATTCAAAACTTCACTGGGAATTTGTGGACGGTTAAACTATAACAAGGTTTAGTGACCTTCAAAAACTTTAAATAAACCAAAATTATACTTTTTTTTTTATTGAAACTAAAACCAGAGTTGCAACTTTTATACTTACAAAAGCTAAAGAGAACCTCACAATTATAAATTGAGCCTAATGATATCCTTTCTAGACACGCATACATATTAACTAAGGTTCATTTCTTCGTTTGTGTCACACTAACGCAAGCAAAACACTACCTGTGATCAAAAATAGAAAACGGAAACATTTTATTTACAAGAAAAAGCATTACAAATTAAAATTAACTTATTAAATAACTTTTACAAAAGTTTGCTCGAGTTCAATTTGCTGATACTTTTTACTGGTAGATATGTGATTGCAAAAAGATAATACTGCAGAGTTTCTTGCCGGTCCTTCTCTGGCAGTTTTAGTTTACTGAACCGGTGGTAGTTTTTGACGTTCAATAACTGCTTAAAAGAAGCCTATGTTGAATAAAGAAATTTTTACTTAACTTGGACTTGACTTGAATGTAACATTTGTTGTCTCCTCAATAGGCAAGCCTGTAGTCAAGGAGGGACATATTGCTTTTACGAGATCGGTCAATTTTTTTCGATGGTTTAACAGTCATAAGATTATCGAAACAATGTCGCTGAAACTGTACGCAGTCGACAACTCCCTGCGATGGGATGTGTACGGTAGCCAAAAACGAGATGCCAAAAAAAACTCAGGAAGCCGAATGCAGCGGTTACGATAGCCGGCGAGGTGATGTGCCAATTAAATTTAACATATAAGCGATGATGCAAAAAGTATTGACGTGTTCCTCTTCGTCGAACAGGCCTTTAACGATGGTAACGTGATGAGGACCCGATTGGCGTAGTGGTTAGTAAACCTGCCTCTTGCGCCAGAGGGTATGGGTTGGATACTGGAAAAATATTGTGTGATGAACTTGGCAATTTTCCAGAATCTCGGTTTTTATATATGTATAATATGTATTCATTTACAAAAGAAAAAGTATGTTTAAATATGTTTATCAATTATCTAGTACCCATAGTACAAGCGTTGCTTAGTTTGTGTGTACTGGAGAAGTTTGTGTAAAAATGTGTCTTAAAACGTTTGTTATTATTATATAATGTGTGGCTCGATTGAGGACACTCCCATACAATATTTCGCAAGAGCTTCCAATAAACTCAAATTGAATACAGAAATTTTAACTTTGATAAGCACCGATCCTGAGATGTGATTGCGATAGATGTGAATGTAAAAGGTAAAAATAAAGTAACGATACACATAATATTCCACCGCTGGGAAAAGGCCTTCTTTGCACAAAGAGTATTAGGGCATAGTCCTCCACGTGACCCCACTGAGATTTGGTGGACTTCACATATTATCTAATATATAAAATTCTCGTGTCACGGTGTGTGTAATTGAACTCCTCCGAAACGGCTCGACCGATTTTCGTGTGCATATCGGCTAGGGTGGAGAATCGGACAACATCTATTTTTCATCCACCTAAATGTCAAGGGTGGTCCACCCCAAACATTTTTTTCTAATTTACGAGGATATGGCACAACAACGTTTTCCGGGTCAGCTGGTGTTCTATATATCTTTTTGATATTATTTCAAAAATATGCAGGATTCCTCACGAAGTTCCTTGCTTAACAATTTCATTGGTGTCGGCACCGGTTTTTATACTCAAGTTACTCGTACATAAATTAAAAGCGAGTACACTGACACTGAGTTTTATGCTATGCTTAAAGATAACCCCAATAGTACATACTGTGCGAGCTCGTATTACAGCTTATATCCTGTCTTTAACAGGATATATATAAAAAATGTTTTTCTAGTGAGTGTTTGATGTCACAAAAGAACATTCACAAGGGATTACAATGGTTCCCGTTATACCCTGTGATGTAATGTTTTTCAACGATAACACGATAAAAAATGTCTCCCAAGTGTTTTGCGACATTTACGTTTTACAAGGAGCACATAACAGAAGGTTCTGTTATAGTCTCATTCTGACGTATTATATGCGACAATTGCTGATATAGGCTTATTTTTAAAGGACAATGCATTTCTTTAGATTTAGTCCCCTTTAATTCCATATCGTTGTCAACGTCAAAAATCATTACCACTCCTATCCTTTGCGTATAGTGGGTACATACTTCCTCATTGAAGATTTTACACACGTATAACGTAATAATTGGGTCCAATTTTTTTCGTAAAGAAAAAGGAGATTTTTCCTTAAGTTCGATTGATACAAACTTACAGATTCATTTAACATTGTTTAAGACAATATCGTATTATATTCGCGTAAGAACAAGAAATCGATCACAGACGGTTAAACGCCCGTATCATGTATTTATGGCGGTATCTTATGTATAACGCTGAATAGAACATACATACAAGAGCTCATCCAAACTGTTTGTATGTATGTTTGTCACAGGGATATTATTTACTACTGGCAAATAAAGAGTGCTCTTTTGGTCCAAGGTTAAAAGAAAAATACAAATTCTAATATATTTGGAAAGCGTCTGTTGTTGCAATCTTAAACGAATTCCTAACGAACATCGTAGTGCTCTTTTTGAACGCAGAGAGGGAGAGAGTATTGAAATTCTTTTTTATGATCTGTTTTATTGAACAATAATATTTACAACATTAAATACTAGGTAACTAAATTAAATGCTATCTAAAAAACCTAGTCCACGTGGCATCGTGCCTGGAACGCTAACTGCTCTCGCTAAATAGTTATGTTTAACCTTTGAGTGAGAACCAGCCTTATTACCGGCCGCAGCGATAAGTCTATGAAATACTTGTACATAAGGTTTTAAAACGAAACCTCCGTATACGACCAAAGAGTTTTGTAGGATGCTTTAAAAAAGAATTCTGTACGCTAATCGCTGCAACAACAACGTTGCCATAGAAACCGAACCGGCGCGCTCGCAGTTCCGGTTCGCAACAGCAAAAGTAGTGGTAATAGGACTTGTTGGAGCGAAACGCCTCGTGGCGTACCCGTTATTAACAGCAACCGCGCACGCTCATTTCGGCGGTATCGCAAAGAGATCTGAAGCATACGTTGTACACTTAAAGCATACATCGAATGAACTTTGGAATGTTCTAGAACGGAATCGGTAACAGCCAAAAGCGCTGGAACGGACTTAATTTAACCGAGGCAATCGTAGCAGCCCTAATTTAGGAGGAAGGAGAAATATGTGTTATTTATTGTAACACCTTACATACTTTTCGTTGATTTTTACGAGTTCTGACCTGATTCTTAATGTGAACAGTTGACAAGCGCGGTGAGGATTCACCTGATGGTAAGTGATACCTCCAATTCATTCGTCCAACGCCTGAGGTAACGCAAATACGATGCTAATCGGTGGTCAACGCATCAACGCCATGGCACGCATCTGCATCACCTGATGGGTTGCAAATGCCCATTGGCCGCAATCCAAGTGGATTTTCCCGTCCTTTATGGATTCCGTGCCACCGGATCGGGGGAGGGGCAGGGGTATGTGGGAGTCCCGGTCACTGGAGCCCGCTTGACAACTGTTAAATAAAAAAAAATTCCGAAACGCCTCACCGCCGCGCGTTCTCGGCCGAATCGAATCCGGGACTATCGATGACCTATCACCGGGAGCCGTGCGTCCAGGGCCCCAATAAATCCGTCGCGGTTCGGCGATGGCGCGCCAGATTGCTATTTATAGCCGCTAATCCGACATCCGAGGTGTGGGCCGAACAATTGCTTCGCGCTTTTGAGTTTTCAGCGGCACCGATCGCTGAGATAAAGCGGGCGAAAGTATTCGACGCGCGTTCCCGACGATATGACGTATGGGGTATGCGCTTTCGGTTGTCTGAATCGTTTTGTTTGGGCCTGGGGAGGGCAGATGAGCGATTCGAAATGCCCGCATGTTTTAAGGCGAAGCACTCGTTTTGTTACGGCATGGCTACTGCTCAGCAACCGTTGCAGGTAAGCGGGCAAACACGTAGGCGGTAGACCTAGCCCGGTAAAAATCTTTTCACTCCTAATAAAAAAACCCATCAAGATCCGTTGCGCAGTTTTAAAGGTCTAAGCATACATAGGGACAGACAGACAGCGGGACGTCTTTGTTTTATACTATGTAGTGATATGGAGTTGTAACATTAAAAAGTAAATTAACTGCCTATGTAAATGTTCCACTGCTGGGCAAAAGCCTCCTAAAGCCGCCTGCTGAAGGTAGAATAGCATACGTCTACCACCCGACCTTACCACGACTTTATATATCTCCGATACATAATAATTTCTTGTATTTACGCGATTACACATTACTAAATGAAACTATGACTAATAACAACAGCGTTCATCGTCACGGGACAGTCACTGTAAAGGGTTCAAACGTCGAGAATAAACACCAAAAATAAACGCGATAAATCCGTAAACATAATTTCATTTAATATCTCCGATATATTTTTTTTATTACTGCGAAAGCATGCAGGTTTCCACACGACGTTTTCTTTCACCGCTGAGCATGTGATAAGTTATTAGTCAACACTTATAATTGCAAGGGCACCAGGATTTGAACTCACGTTGCTAGAGTATATTGAATGAAAAGTGAGCGGTCCGGTCGCTGAGCTATTAAGAGCTGTGATGATGGAAATGTGTGCTGTATAAATAGGACGAGTTTTTTTTAAGTTTTCTTGAGCTTGCGGCTTAACTTCGCAACCCTTCGATGTTGTACATGTCCATGCGGTAATCTAAGTGATCGTCTTTGTGACTACCGTACCATCAGGGGAGTAAGGTAACCGGGGCCGGTAAAATTGTTGTCTTGGAGCTTGGTGTGAGAGAGATGACAGATAACTTTCGCGGACCCGTAGACCGGTGAAGTCTTATGGTTATGGTTCAAGACAACCAAATTGTTTAAATATCGCCAGTAAATCATATTCAAACAAAATCCATTCTTGTTCTCATAACACATAATATAAAACAGTACACGGTCACGTAATCGCTATGTGGAGCGAAACGTTTACTTTCGTTTGTTTTATGATTTCTCAACGTCCGTCGCGTCGTCCAATTTAATTTTACGACTAGCATACAACCCGTAAAAAATAATTGTCCACAAAAAAACACAGGGTCACTATCGCATATGCTCCTCAGTTTTTTTCATCTAGGCGCGCATTTGGAGGCGATAAATTAGACTTTAAGATTAGGGTTCAACAGTTCTGGGAAAGATTCTTATATTTGATCATTATATTTGCAACTGTATTATTCATATTGAAAATTATACGACCATTGCTGCGGTAGGGCCACGGAAGCTTTGGCTGTTGCACGAATGGGCAGACTCGTTTACGGAGGTACCGCGGCCTGACAGAAGACCAGCGTGAAGTAGACGTATAATTTGCGCTTCGTGCGGTGAGAGAGGTAGCTGGGATCCACTGTCTTGTGGTTTGGTTAATTCACTTAAGGTTTTGTAGATGGAGGATCCAGGAGCGTCTGGAATCTCTTAACATCATCAGATGAACACGCCACTCGCTTGCTGACTTTTCACATCAAAAAATGAATGTTCTGAATGAAAGCTGATACGGAACCCGCGAAGCGGCTGCACGGCAGCGCTTTACCGCTTTTTGTCCAGTTCGTTAACCCGAAATCTAGAGGCGACCACATCGAGCTGGTGCCAAGACGAAGAAGACGATTAAGAGGCTGGCTACAGAACACGCGGGAAGCGTAAAGTTCCCACAGGAATCCGCGTCAAATGGCATTTTCGTGGCTTGTTGTCTTTTGTTCGCGACATCGCTAGTCTATTATTGACGCCATTTGGGAGGCCATAATCTCAATGTATTTTATAGTTCGTCTCACCTCGTAATACTATACGTCTCCGACCGTGACGAGTTGATAAAATTGACGCGATAAACAGTTTTAAAATTAGTGTACAGATTATACCAGATAGAAACCTATTAAAGGCCCGTATAAGTTAACGACAGGTCAAAAGTGCTGAACTTGACTTTAGGTATAAATTGTCTATACATATGTTTTTGGCTACTACCGATCAGTTGATATCGCGTTGACAAATTATCATGTTTTCTGGAGACACACAGTCTCTTACTGATGAACATTTCTTTTCTTTGTATTTACGAAGTATCATGTGTTAAAATCCATCCTCAAAATATTCTGCTATCACATAATGGGGAATAATTCAACAGACATTTTTAAATCAGGATCTTCTTGAAATCAAAGAGTTATCCGAACGAGTGGACAATAGCCGACGGCCCAATTCAAAGCCGGACAACTCAAAAGAAAACAACAACGCTAAAAGGCCATTGTTATCTTATTCCGCAACCGATGATACTGAGTTCCGTATCGACACGCAATTAGAGCACAACGGCGCAGATCGATTCGCGGGCAGGGCTCAATCGATTACAAACACGATAATCGATGTAATCGAAACGCACGGCTTCAATCGACACAATGCTGTAAGCGACAAAGTTGGACCTGCAACCGCGAGCACATTACACGCTAAACGCAGCTCTGATAAACGCTGCTAAAGTCGATTATCAAGTGCACCGACACTTGTAGTTTGAGAGACTGACGTGGTCATAACGGGTGCACTGTTAACGAAATTACTACCGCGAACCGAGGTAAGGTGGATGCGGTCACGAGGAAGTTTCAATGGTGATATTTTAACATTCAGAGCGTGAGAACTTTCGGCTGCAGTATTTCCGAAACACCGTCACAAAAGGCTCAAATTAAAAAAGTCGCTTGCCCTCAAAATGCTGTTTAAAATTACACTCGGGAGGTCTTAACATATAGGTCCCTTCAAAACATTTTGAAGTTTTTGTTAAATAAATTTTTGATTATGGTTTTAATTGCCCACGTCTTGAAGACTACGGAGCTGATGGTCATAGAACATGTTAATTCTCTAGTAGATCCAAGACTCAATCGCTTTAAGAAAATTTTGCTGACGGTACTTTAGCTACGGTACCAACATGTGATGAAATCACAAAATTTTCCCATATAAATTGGCTTTGACGAGGCGTAACGGTCATCTGAATAGGTTAATGAGATATAAAAAAACCATAAGAGTTATTTCAATGTAATTAATAAAACTTTACGCGAGAGCAGTCTGGCTGTGTAACCTTATACCAAAACTTTATATCATAACGTCTGAGCAGAATAACCTGTTAAAGAATCCATGGAATTATTTTTACCATAAAACAATCAGGCGTGTTTGTGTGTGTTGTTCCTTTAGACATGAAAATCAGCTGATTTTATATAATCATTTTGGGAAGTTGTTTTCAATGTTTCATGTTTTTTTTAATATTGAAACAAAAAGAAATATATACATAAATATTTAAATTAACTACCCGTTGAAATTTTTGAAGATATAATAAAGTTTACCTTTGGTTTAGGGAATCAAGACGAAAATTACGTTCACGACTGCCTGCCTCGTTTTAAGTGTACAATTTAACGTTTTAAGTGAATCAATTCCTTCACAAATTATATCCTAATCTCTATCCAGGTGCAGAAAGGCGCGAGCGGATCTTGTTCGGACACGAGAGCGATCCACCGCTGTATAGTAGCTCGGGGCCGCAACACCGATTGACTCATTATAGCGATTTGACAGCTAACAAGCGCATCAAAATGAAATGTATAATTACCGGCCAAGACTGATGCCTATTAGAGGCAGTATTACGGCCATTGTTGCTATTAGGGGCGGACTTTAGTAAAAAAGTTACCATGATTAATGTCATTTTGCGAACTCAATTCTGAGGTCGAACTCACACGTGCCGGTTATGGTATGGGTATCAACGACCGCGATGTGAACGTTGTGGCACAGAATACACAGGGTGTAATATAAACTTTTTAACAGAAAATATCGCGATTTAACGTCAACGAAATATCATCATAACGTCCCTTCGATAGTATAACATTCTAATAAGTAAATTACTATTCTATGATTAAGCAGATTTAAAGTAAAACTTGCCCATAAATTTAATACCTAATATCAAGGGCTGTCTAAGGCAACGTTAACAATCCAGAAAATAATCAGCAATAAAATATTTGATCCCAAAGTCGTATTAGAGTCAATTTTAAGTTCTTAAAAGCTACAGATTAACTTCTCAAATACGCGGATACTACTTAAATAAAAAATAAAAAGTGTATTGTAGTGTATGTATATTGCTTAATAATAATTTGGTTTACTACTTTACTCTATTACGACGATTTTTCTCATTTTATCTAAATCCAAATTATTTCTATATTTTCCTAGAGCAATGGAAGATGTGAGTTAGGTTCAATGTTACGTAAGATGTCTACATTCCTTCTGCCCGCATAAATAATAGGCGGTGTAATAATATCCATTGGTGCGCTATTATAGCGCTATAAAAAAGCTTGACAGTTTCTACAATTGTAAAGTATGGTTATAGCCAATGAACGACATGGCACGACCTTACTAATCTATTGCTGTTTATGAATTCTTTCATTCAGTAATTTTTTACGATTCCCCTAAACTGGAATTTAAACAGTTATAAAGCACATAATTTTCATATACTATTCGATCGAATAACATTTAGACCGTTTCACGCAATTTCTCAGTTTCGAAGGTTGTTTAAAACATACTTAAAATATTGGCAAATAAGGCCGTATCGATTACAATATGCAATGGGTCCGCATACTGTAATACATAGATGATGAGAGATGTACTTACTGTAAGCGCTGTTGCCGTCTGTGGTGCCGTTGACGGTGCCATCGGGCAGCAGCTGAAGGTAGCGGTTCTTGAGGAACATCTGGATCGTGCGCGACGTGCCCGTTATGTGGCTGAGGTTCGCCGAGCGCTGGGCGCGCGGCTCCGGCGCGGGGGCGGCGGCGCAAGTGGCGAGCGCTAGCGCCGCGAGCAGCAGCCTCAAGGGGCGCGTCCGCGAGCGCATGACGCGCCGCGCCCATGGCAGCCGCGCGGGCGCCGTCACTGCTCGGCGCGCATGCCTTGCACCACGCCCGACGCCACGCCTCGAGCGGCAACAACGCGGGGCCTAGGCAGTCCCCTGCGGTACGCCCGGGCGCATCGCCCACACTAATCGCTGCGGCTCAGTGGCGCTTCGGCAATCGCTGGATGGGCCGCAATCGGCGCATGTTAGTGCAGCCGGACCATGCGAGCGCGGTCCGGAGGCGCCGTATAGAGTTCGGCGAAGCCGCAAGCGAGCCGCGTGGTTTTGCGGCCGACTGTCCGCCGCCTGCAACAATGAATCGGTGTCGTGTCATTAATACGTCGCGCGAAACGTTCAGATTGGATATCGATACGGTCGCGATTGCCCGATCGCCTCCGTGCCCGTTAATTGGGCGAAACAGCGCCGTTTCGACATCAAAGCGATAGAGTACAAAGTAAGATGAGGGAGCGATAACTCTAACGGTGCCGTGATAATCGTTGCGATTATTGCTGTGCCATAATGATGTATTTCAAAAGATGTTTCGACGATCGTTAATTTTAATTGGGGAAAGGGTATGACGAAACAGTATACGACTGTGCAAGTTAAATTACAACATATTTGAAGTCCATTCTTACTTTGAAACATTCTTGTTAAGAGATATATGATAAAAGTTTTTTATCGATTAAACTCCAACCAGATCAAAATTTGCCAACCACCAGTAGTTTAAGACGTTTATCAAGTCTTGTGTATCTTGTAACAAACCTTAATCTTGTAATTAAATCTCTACTTTGACTGTCATACAACACCCATAAACCGAAAACCTAAAGAAACAGTGATGCAATAAATTTTCTCGACGGCAGACCACATTCTTTTCAAATTCCAAACATATAGTCAGAAAGTCACATTACAAATCTGTAAAACAAATAATGGAGCTTCGTTACTATCTCCTAATTAAGTAACAGTTCGAGGTGCGATCGCTTAATTTATAGTTTGAACTCTAGAGACGGTAATTGTTATTGGCGTGGGAAAACATCGTCCATTAATCAATTACGGCTTCCCGAATGTTGGCATTTGTGACCCGAGGTGCCTCTTGATTTCTCGACGAATTCTCACTCTAGGATTATGTCCCTCCATTGTTGTTTTAGATGTCCTATTGGATGTCGTATGCCACGTAAAACTCGATTTGGCTGATGTTCTTTGGGAAGGCATGGGCGGAGGATAAATGCGTCACACCGGTCGGCAATAAGCGCTATTGTGTTTTGGATAGCTTGTTCACGGCGGGACAGCAGACACGGTAGTCATGATTTCTAAATGCGACTATTCTTACGAATGTACACATCTTAGCGATGTCGGGTACAGTCGAGAGCATACTAAGCTTTATGCAAAAGCAATAATACACGGTTCTACTTTTACACACCTGTGTAAAAGACATAATATAACCATAACCACAACAGGCGTTGGTCACATACAAGAAGAGGTTTGCCTGTGATAGGGTCGCGCAACAGTGTTCACTGTTGCGCGAATGACAATGAAAATGAAATGAAAATGGACAGGTCCATCCGGGTAAGTACCACGACCTCACAGAAGATGGCGTAATGTAGAAGTGTTACACTTCTGCGTTTCGTCTGGTGAGTGAGATAGCCGGGGCCCACTTTATTTAAAAGTGGCAACGCAATTGCAACCCTACGGGATTTGCAAATGTTCATGGCCAGCGGTTATCACTAAACGTCAGGTGAATCGCCAGCTCGTTTGCCACTTTATGACATAAAAAAAATAAATTTGACGACCCAATCGGCGTAGTGAACTGTGTCTGTCGCTACAGGATGTGGGTTCGTTTCCCACTACTGAAAAAATAATGTGTGATGAACATAGTGTTTTTCTAGCGTCTAATTTCGAGTGTCCGGCTGTTTATACTTCTATAATATATATTTATTTAAAAAAGAAAAGTACGTTTAAGAATGTTTTTCAGTTACATAATGCCCATAGTACAAGCTTTGCTTAGTTTGCGACTAGACAGCGTTGTGTAAGATATACATAAAAATATATACATAAATTATAGCCTATATGTTATTCTGATGTATAAGCTATATAATTGTAAAGTTTCAATAAAATCCATTCAGTAGTATTTGCGTGAAAGAGTAACAAACTTCCATCCAAACATATAAACTTTCGCACTTATAATATTAGTAAGGAAGTAAGGATAGCAAACAGAATAAAACTACTTAAAGAATTTTATGAACGAATTATAATGAAAAAATCAAGCAAGATGAAATGTAACACACAAAGCACTTATCACTAGTTATATTATATCATAAAACGAGTAACACGAACAATCATCGCAGAGTAGTTATATTACTAAAAGTTGTCTGCTTTACGACTCGTGCATTATACTACGGCTGCATATGAGAGTTCGTATTATGTAAATCGACTTACAGCATTCGATTTTTATTGTGCTACGAACAATGTTCCCCGCGGGTTCTTTATCGTGGTCCATCCGACCTTTGGTCGTGTGCCAACTCCATTTGGAAGGTGAATAAATACACAGGTCATCCGGGATTGAACGCGGGGCTATTGATTTACGCCTACCTGTGAGCCCGGCGTGTCGATGTGTCCATTTGTTTTTTTTTTTATGTGAAAAAGTGGCAAACGAGCTGGCGTTTCACCTGATGTTAAGTGATAACCGCCGCCCACGGACGTGTGCAACACCGGTTGCACTACCTCACTCACCAGACGAAACGCAGAAGTGTAACACTTCTACTTTACGCCGGTCTTCTGTGAGGTGGTGGTACTAACCCGGACGGACCAGCCCATTCGTGCAACAGTGAATACTGTTGAGTGGTCCTGCCACAGTTGTGACTAAACATTATCTAATGTAAATTGTGTGGGCACTATGAGTGTCGTAGTAAGTGTTTTGACAGAGCTGGTTAAATGTCAGGACGTAAGTAGGAGTAGTAACATCTCAGTCCCTTTTAGAGATCAACATATGTGAATTTCCGGGTATTAGTAGTTTGTGAAGTTCACAAGTAGGTACTTTCGTACTCCTCTGTACAAAGGGTGTTAGAGCGTATTGCTTGGCAGTTTCTGCTACGTTTATTTGGCAAATTGTTCGAGATCAAATTTCTTTATTATTTTATACCGCGGTGGTCTCACTTCAGCTAATTAAAAGTACTTATTTTTTATCTGGCAAGCGAACTGGCGGCTCACCTGATGTTAAGTTATAACCGCATCCCACGGACATTTGTAACACCTGTAAGCTTGCGGATGAGTGCTACCTTTTAATAAAGGCCTCGGCTACCTCACTCGCCAGACGAAACGCAAAAGTTTGACACTTTCACTTCACGCCGGTCTTCTGTGAGGTCGTGGTACTTATGCGGACCGACCTACCCTTTACACACCCGTACACATTACAATTTTGCTTTTCGTGCAGTAAGATGAGCGAAGATCCAAGCTCTTTAAGAACAACACAACAAGAGTGACATATCAACTACTCGTTTTAATGAACTTTTGACACTTTTGACTTGAAACTTTGGACATGGTGTGTGCATTAAATATTACTAATTATTAATAATAATTTATTCATCCATTTGTTTATACCCCATTCACTCGTTCACTCATTCAGCTCCATAGATCACTTATCAGACGAGCTGCTTCCTCGTTTGCCATCTGTTTTATATTAAAAACGATAAATATTAAGACGCCAACAGCGGCTAAGTAAAACATCGTTTAGTTTTACTTCAGCAAATAAGGATAAATGAATTTCGGAACATATGTATTTGTCTACCGTAATCCTGTCTTCGGAACAATGAGTTCGAAATAATTACATTTATATTTACACAGATGGCGCTCTATCGTGTTTGCTTATTTCTCGCGTATGCTATTTGTGGGCGTGTGCGTTTCAAATTTGAGTTGCCTCTGTAACTCGTTTAAAAATTAACAATTTTGCCACTTAAACCACATTACGGCGCTGTTTAGTCAAGAAGATTTGAAACAAGTTCTTCGTACATAAAGTAAAAAGTTTGCACGTGCATTAATGGACGTGTGTTAATGGAGTTGTAACAATGTTTCGGACTTAATTATAGTATCAAGGTAAACAAATAGAACTTATTCACTTAAGGATTGACGAAATTAACTCCTGAGGCAGCGTAGACAGCTGTGTACATAGAAATGCAAAGAATTCTGTTAGATACATTATAAAATTCGGTCATAATTAGTTCTAGAAAAACGTAATAATACCTAACGGACCTGCCCATTCGTGCAACAACCGATACTGTTGCGTGGCCCGGTAAAAGTACAGAAAACACTATATTGCAAATTCGTTTACAACCAAAGATACAGTCCTTTTTTTTAAAATGGCCAGAATATTACTAAATAAAGGAAACATTCTTCGGTTTCGCAGCCGAAATTCCGAGTACAAATAAAGACAAATTCAAACATCGCCGAGCCAAAGCGCGTGTGATTTTGGCCTTTAAGCCTCGATAATAAGGTGTACGTTATACTAAGAGGCGATTCGTTAAATAAACTGTCGACAGACAGGAAACTTGAGCGTAACTGTGAAGTCGCTACTATTTCTAAGTGAACGTAAAACAAACTGAATCTTAGCGTTCGATTCTAAATTCAAACGCGTATTTTTAAGTAGATTAAACTATGGCAAATTTTTTTATAAATATCATTGACTAATACAATTTTGGAAGGACCAAACGCACTGCTAGGCGTAAACATGAAACTACTACAAATTCTAAATTCAAATACCTATTTTCTTTATTTAAATTAGGGGAAATGGTTTTTATAAATACACTGACTGGTATATAAAAAGTCATTGTGTGAACACTCATACAGCACAACATAGTTGTTTTGCGTTATCTGATTGGCAGCGATAAGGTTATCTGCGCTATGTTGTAAGCTTCATTTGTAATGTTCAAGGCTCTCATCACTTCCTCTCTTTCCTTTTTCTCCTCGACACAGGCGACAGAAATGGAACTTAAGCTCAATACGATCAAAGGTAACCCACCGAGTTATTACAAAAGTCCATAGTCGAAAGCATTCACCTGGCATCCGATTTCGTAACCCAAGGGAACTGGCCGATAGGCGATAGCGTTTTTTTGCTGGCCGTCCAATCGAGCCGACTGTCTATCCGCAAGAACTAATCGATTATGCCACTGTACGTCTGGTTAATGGTTTCTTTCTCTACGGTACGGTTAACATAAAAAGCTGCAACGATTAAATGTAATTGTACTAAAAATCTCAAGGTTCACGTTCTGCTACGTTTGGGAACTAAAAGGATTGGTGAAAAGTGGATTATTCATCTTTTTCTGCCACGTGAAAGTTGAAAACGATAGAAATATACATAAAAGTATCATGCGTTTTAGTTTGTCTTAATGAACAATCAATTTCTCAGACATAATCCTGGAAGCTCTGTGTCCGGGTGCTTCCCTTCAATTTAGTA